GGGTATGGTTCTATCTTCACCATCAAAATTTAGTGGTACTGGCAGGCTTTTCACTAGATCCCGCTTCGTCAATATGTAAAATAAAAATATTTCATGCATTTGTGTGCTGAAATAGCTCAGTTGGGAGGAAGTTAGACTGAAGATCTATATGTCCCTGGTTCGATTCCGGGTTTCGGCGTGGCTCTACTCCTCGGTAGTATAGTGGTCAGTATCCCCGCCTGTCACGCGGGAGACCGGGGTTCGATTCCCAGCCGGGGAGAGCATTTTATCTATCAAGCAGCTGGCTTTTTTTTTAGAAAGGAAATCCGAATTCGAAACTTTTTCTTTCATGTTACATTGCATTTTAAATTGTTCATTTGAATAGCTGGGTATGTTTCTATCTTCACGATCAAAACTTAGAGGTACTGGCAGGCTTTACACTATATCCCGCTTCGTCAATAAGCAAAATAAAAATTTATCATGCATTTTTGTGAAGAAATAGCTCAGTTGGGAGGAAGTTAGACTGAAGATCTATATGTCCCTGATTCGATTCCGGGTTTCGGCGTGGCTCTACTCCTCTGTAGTATAGTGGTACGTATCCCCGCCTGTGACGCGGGAGACCGGGGTTCGATTCCCTGCCGGGGAGAGCATTTTATCTAACAAGCAGCTGGCTTATTTTTTTAGAAAGGAAATGCGAATTCGAAACTTTTTCTTTCTTGCTACATTGCATTTTAAATTGTTATTTAGAATAGCTGGGTATGGTTCTATCTTCACGATCAAAATTTAGTGGTACTGGCAGGCTTTACACTAGTTCACGCTTCGTCAATATGTAAAATAAAAATATTTCATGCATTTGTGTCCCGAAACAGCTCAGTTGGGAGGAAGTTAGACTGAAGATCTATATAACCCTGGTTCGATTCCGGGTTTCGGCATGGCTCTACTCCTCGGTAGTATAGTGGTCAGTATCCCCACCTGTCACGCGGGAGACCGGGGTTCGATTCCCCGCCGAGGAGAGCATTTTATCTAACAAGCAGCTGGCTTATTTTTTTAGAAAGGAAATCCGAATTCGAAACTTTTTCTTTCTTGTTACATTGCCTTTTAAATTGTTAATTAGAATAGCTGGGTATGGTTCTATCTTCACGATCAAAATTTAGTGGTACTGGCAGGCTTTACACTAGTTCACGCTTCGTCAATATGTAAAATAAAAATATTTCATGCATTTGTGTGCCGAAATAGCTCAGTTGGGAGGAAGTTAGACTGAAGATCTATATGTCCCTGGTTTGATTCCGGGTTTCGGCGTGGCACTACTCCTCGGTAGTTTAGTGGTCAGTATACCCGCGTGTTACGCGGGAGACCGGGGTTCGATTCCCCGCCTGGGAGAACATTTTATCTAACAAGCAGCTGGCTTATTTTTTTAGAAAGGAAATACGAATTCGAAACTTTTTCTTTCTTGTTACATTGCCTTTTAAATTGTTAATTAGAATAGCTGGGTATGGTTCTATCTTCACGATCAAAATTTAATGGTACTGGCAGGCTTTACACTAGTTCACGCTTCGTCAATAAGTAAAATAAAAATATTTCATCCGTTGGTGTGCCGATATAGCTCAGTTGGGAGGAAGTTAGACGGAAGATCTGAAAGACCCTGGTTCGATCCCGGGTTTCGGCGTGGCTTTACTCCTCGGTAGTATAGTCGTCAGTATCCCCGCCTGCCACGCGGGAGACCGGGGATCGATTCACCGCAGGGGGGAGAGCATTTTATCTAGCAAGCAGCTGGCTTATTTTTTTAGAAACTTTTTCTTTCTTGTTACATTGCATTTTAAATTGTTAATTAGAATAGCTGGGCATGTTTCTATCTTCAGGATCAGAACTTAGAGGTACTGGCAAGCTTTACACTAGTTCCCGCTTCGTCAATAACTAAAAAAAAATATTTCATGCGTTGGAGAGCCGAAATAGCTCAGAAGGGAGGACGTTTGACTGAAGGTCTAAAGGTCCCTTTTTCGATCCCTGGTTTCGGCATGACTCTACTCCTCCTTAGTATAGTGTTCAGTATCCCCGCCTGTCACTTGACAGACCGTTGTTCAACTCCCCGCCTGGGAGAGCATTTTATCTAACAAGCATCTGGCTTATTTTTTTTAGAAAAGAAATCCAAATTCGAAACTTTTTCTTTCTAGTTACATTGCATTTAAAATTGTTAATTAGAATAGCTGGGTATGGTTCATCTTCACGATCAAAATTTAGTGGTACTGGCAGGCTTTACACTAGTTCACGCTGCGTCATTAAGTAAAATAAAAATATTTCTTGCGTTGGTGTGCCGAAACAGCTCAGTTGGGAGGGCGTTAGACTGAAGATCTGAAAGTCCCGGGCTCGATCCCGGGTTTCGGAATTGCACTACTCCTAGTTAGTATAGTAGTCATTAAATCCCGCCTGTCGCGTGGGAGACCGAGGTTCGATTCCCCGCCGGGAAGACCATTTTGCCCCTGAGAATGATCCGAAAGCATGGCATCGCAGTTTTGATCCTCAGAAGAGAGGCTAGTTCTTAGTAACCACTTTTTTTATTGACTTTCTTGCGTTAAATAGCAATTTTGAAAACACTCTCGTTTGTCTCATATAAATAACATTAAAAATAAAGTATACACAGCAACCAACAAACTTCAAACTTTTTTTCCATTACCGTCACCTCTGTTTAGATCTGAAAAAACATCTGTATACATCTATGATACGTTCTATCATGACGTACGCCTCACCTGCCTGGTGTAACGTCTCCAAAAAAGACCTCAACAAACTTATCGTACTCCAAAATAACATCTTGCGAAAGCTCACGGGAGCGAGACGGTTTATCCGTAACAACGCCATTCATAGCGATCTTAACATTGACCACTTTGACCCTCATTTCAACAAATTGAACAGAAACGTCTTTATTAATGCCGCCACCTACGATACCGCAAATTTTAATGATATTTTCGACTGCAAAAATCTCAAAGAGGATGCAAAGTTTAGACCCATAGCACACTTCCACACTTCTGATATCGCACTAACACTTAACAACACAAACACTCACTGACTTATTCACACGCAGATTCAGCTTATCCCAGTGAAAGAGCAGCCCCTCAGGGTCTGATCAGGGGTAAACTGATCCCTGTAACTTAAGTGTAGAGAGCAACCTGGCACGAGTTTTAATTACCAGAACGGCCTGGTCTCTACTTTAAACAGAGCCACACTTACTTACACACATTCTCACATTCTTTTAACTCGTCCTCCTCCCGTTTGTATACATTCCCAAACTGTAAATACTGTAAATATTCGTTAGTGTTTATTTTTTCATTGTACTTTAATTTTAGCTTTTTTCATGTGCTTCTTAATTACTTTTGTTATTACCTAATAATGGCAAAGTGCCTTTTTTTTCTCACGAATTCCATTTTGCTCCCCAAACTTTATTTTTGTCTCGTTCGTTTCTTAGTCTAATTTCAGGATGACTCCACTACAACGAACGAACTCTCGTATGTCTTGTAAACTTTTAGTGGCTACATCTGATATTCAACAGTGAAAAGGATATCTTTCTGTTCTTTAGGTAGTGCCTTTTGACATTTCCTTACTTTCAGATTATCTCTATCTTTTTTTCTCCTTATTTAAACTATTTTTTTTCTGAAACTAAGCTAAATAGTTGCAGTCATTATTTTCTTTCATTATTTCAATACATTAAATTTCTTTGCATCTGTTAATAAATCAATCTGTACTCCTCAGTTTATTTTGATGTATAATAACTGAGTATTGGTATTTGCGTTTACTCCCTAAACCAATCAAATTTCATGGAAGTGCCTCGCTTTGTCCGTATGACGAGAATATTTTACGTCCTAAACGCAGTGAGTGTGAAAGGAATATAACGCAATGGCACTAAATATAAATTTTAAAAAATCAGTTTAAGGGGTTACCGGTCAATAACTGACCGGTCAATGACTTTTGATCTCATGAATTTGTTTTCGAGTTTTTGTCACTTCGTGGCTTTGTGTGGTCACCAAAACATTCTAAAAACTTAACCCTTTGCACTTCCAAGTTCTTTGTCACAGAATATCAAATATATAACATCGAATATATAAGATATCAAATGTATAATGTTTATATATGGTAACCATGTTCAGCGGCTGCGTTAAAGCTTCACCTCCTACATCAGAAAGCCTATTTAAAAAGCACAGACTATTTAAAAAAAAGAGTCAGTTGTGCACATGAACCCAAAACCTTTTATAAAAGTAATTGAGAGAAATTTATCATATTATATTTGAGATTTGAATCTGTAGTGGTTGACAAGTGAAGGAGGCAAACCAATTATATTCATAAATAAAACAAATTTTTAGCATATATTTGCTACCAGTTTCTTATTTTAACTAGATTTTGTATTAAGTGACTCGTTCGGAAAGTGGATATCCTTCACAATGGTCTGATCGGACTACCTATAAAAAACCGTGTGGAGGCTTTCAGTTACAGAAGGCGTTGTTTAAATGCGATAAAAGCGTAAATTTGGCAAATAAAATCATTATATTTTGCGGAAGTATTGGCGAATGATTTTGGAAAAAAATGTATATATTTAACTCGATCCTCAAATCAGTATTTTTTATGCAATTTCAATAATTTTCGATAGATGCGCCACATAACCAATTATAATAGAGTCCAAATAATGCAAGTCTGAAACAAACTACCGTGAAATATTTTTTTTTAGAAAAACAATTAATCCAAAATATTTATTAAGATTTACAATTGGCGGATATTTTCGAAAATTGGCGAATACTTATGATATTTGGCTAATTCACTGGCTAATAATATGAAATCCTTGGTGCGAGCCCTGATATTATATTATGATTGTTTGTTTTCAATTCAAAATATTGTATTAAATATTTATACCATTTAGTGCCTACATAAGTTTAAATAGCTTTATAAAGTTCTGGGAGTGCAAAGGGTTATTCTTAAGAAATGTTCAAGATCTATGTGAATAAATTAACTTTGATCTATGCGAAAAAATTAACAAAAAGGAATGAAAAATGATCTATATTTTTGAACGGTACACATATTCATCTGAAAATGTTAAGATTTTCTTTTCAGTTTCTTTCTTTTCGTTTTCTTCATTCCAAGGCTGCAATTCTGCAGAGGCAAAAATGTCGTAGAAAAGACCACATAAGAAATGGATAATAGCTGAGCTGATGTAAACAAAAGCCCAGTTTCTAAGTGTTTGCTAAAAAGAAATTAAAACAAAATAGTCATATTTTGAAAACATATTAAAAGTTAGTTTATAGACAAGATCTTCTCAAAAAAATTATTTATGTGTATTTTTATCAGTAACAAAATTGAGTTTCTTTAATAACATTGGTGCAATTTCTATAGTATGCAAATTCAATTTAAAATACTAATAATAAAGCGAAAAATGCGATAAAAGTCACAAATTTACATAAAAAACTCTTTGAACAAGGACATTTAGTATTAAACAAATGAATAAAATGCGAAATTTATCGTAATCATTAAAGAATTTTGTAACGTATCTGCTACTAAGATTATTAACTACTAATTCACTATTATATAAAGCATGCTAACTTAAGCGAATTACAGGTTCTTATGCAAAAATTAAAATTGTCTATGAAATTTATTATTCAGGAGGACCTCCACACGGTTTTTATAACTAGTCCAATCAGACCACAACGAAGGATATCTACTTTCCGAACGAGTCAGTTAATACAAAATCTAGTTAAAATAAGAACGTGGTAGCAAATATATGACTAAAAATTTCTTTTATTTATGAATATTATTGGTTTGCCTTATTCACTTATCAACCACTACAGATTCAATTCTCAAATATATATGATGAATTTCTCTCAATTACTTTTATAAAAGGTTTTGGGTTCACGCGCCCAACTGGTTCACTTATTAAATAGTCTGTTCGGACTACTTATAAAAGACCGTGTGGAGGCTTTTTGATGTAGGAGGTGATGCCTCAATACGATTTATGAATTCGCTACAAACGTTTAATATTCCACAATGAATAGATGACTTGTTAGAGAAGTAGTGCTCAAAACTACGAATTAGTTGTTACAATTTTCCCGGACAATAATTAAAGACAGAAAATAATAATGAGCGTGCATAATTATCAACAGCATAAATTTGTAGTGAAATCCATTCACATCGAATTTAATCAGGAATAGGAAGATTAATGCAGAGAGAAACTATGATAGAAAATACAACCACAGAGATGCCAACTTGCTCCGCACAGGAAATATGTATTTTAAAGTGGTAGTTTATCAATTATGATTCTTGGTTTAATAAATTCAATTTAGTACATTTTTATCCACCACTATTTCTACATAATTAGTAGGCTTATATAATTCATCACTTTTTAGTAGTTATGGAAATTTCTTGAAGCTGTTATGCACTAAAAAGTAAGCAAATAGTTAATTTTATGCAAAATTTAGTTTGTAATTAATTACCGCTTTTTTATTTATTTTAGCGCGTCCGGATCAGTTGGTATCTCTGTTAATGTGGTGTAACTATCACTACAATTATTAAACATAATTTTACTAGTATATAAGACATGCTAAGCAATAGGCATTAATCCTTTTGATAGATGATGGTTGGCATAGTCGATAATTAAACCCACTCAATGCAACCATGCTATGAAGTTCATGCATGTAAATTTGAAACCGTGCAAAGCTATATTATTTGGATAAGTTTAATAATATCACAAAAATAGAGCTGAAAAAATGAATCAACAAATTGATGTTTAACACGTTCACGCCGGCTGTTCACACCCAGGCCTGACAGCGGGACAGAAAAGAGAAAATACTGGTAGAAGAACTATTTCAATATTAGATAATATTCGGGAGGAGCTAATCTATTCTCAACAATAACAATTCACTGTAAGGAAATTTTTCACGGCGAAGAAGCAATTCAATATAAAAATTGCATCCGTTGAAAACCATTGGCAGTTATGGATTTTTATTATTCCCCGAAAAAAACTAAAAAATGAAATTTATTTGTCACCAGTTCTTACTCCGGTGTGCCACCGGTGGTACGTGCCGGCAGATGAGACAGTCCAGCGCGGGCCACCGGTGGTACGCGCCGTCGTGAAAGTGTTAACCCTTTGTATCCGATTTATTTAAATTCCAAACTAAGAGGTAACAACCGAATTAAAATCCATATAAGTTTTTGATTTAAAAAAAAATTTTTTTTTGTTTGTTAAACAGTTACCAAATATAACATGACAACTTCACTAAATGCTTCGTCATTTATAAGATGTGGTAGTTATAAATGCATTCTTTCTTTCGGAAATAGACTGACAGCAAAATGTTTTAGTCACCTCCTTTTTTGTATTGGTAATAAATGCATGACTAGTCTGATTCGTCAAATATTAGGGTTACGTGGTTCTTTCTTTAACCCCTTGGGGACGGGTGATTCAGAAAAGCATTCGTACAAAATCAGAATCAAGTTGCAATTAAATAAAAAACGGTAACTTAAATGTAGTCGTTACTAATTTTACAGACTTACTTTACTTTTATTTTAATTATTGTTAGTTTAATCATATATATAATCAATGTTAATTCAAAGTATAACTAAATAGTTTTATTTTGAACAAAGTAATGGTGAATTAAATAAATCAAAAAATTATAACTCCGCCCACAAATAAACTGCTAAAGAAATACTTCGATTACCAGTTTTATCTTCTTACCCTGATTGATACGGTTTTTTGCTGTCACGTATTTGTGACAGTCGGCGCGAAAGGGTTAATCAACATCGAAAAAAGATATGCTACTGTACAAAACTAATATCCGTCTAGTTCTAACTTATTAATTCGAAAACTTGCCTGAGAAAAAAAGAGTCTAATATTTTTATCAGTGAAAGGAGGATCTTATGAGCTATTTTTCGACAGAGAGCATCTTCTACAGAAGAAGAACAGATTAGAAGTTTGCAAAATTTATTAGAGCATTGATGTCATATTAACCATAAAATTAATCAGGATTAGATTCGCAAGGTACATCTACAACTTAGATACAATCAGCGACGACTGGACTTCGTCCACTTGACCAATGAGGGTACTAAACTCCCAATAAATGGCAACAAGGAGAATGTAATGGTAAAATATTTTGAATAAGGCCAAGACCCTCCCGGGCTGCCATGCCAATGATGATAATACATTCCATTGATAAAACTTGTTACAAATGTCATCTGCAATACTTACCCCGCTTTTAAGAATTACTCCAACAAACGCTGGTGCAAGAAAACCTGGCAGTGTTGCAATTGCATTTGTTATTCCAAGAAGAGTTCCTAAAAATAAAATAACTATAAATATGTTATAATCGATATTTCATAAATAACATTTCTGGCACAGTGTAGCCAATCAAGCAAGACTAATTCAACAAATGATGAAAAATAAATGGGAAACCACCTGAGTCCAAACTAGAAAATTTTTCTGGAGAGCAAAAAAAATTAATAACTCCGGTTTAACTTCTTCGGGTTTGTAGCAAATCAAAAGTTTTAAAATACCTTTTTAATGTTATTATTATTGTATACGCAAAGTTATTATTTTATAAATTATTCGTAGTTTTTATCATAAATTATTCGTTATTTTTTTCGTAAATTATTCGTTATTTTTTTCGTAAATTATTCGATATTTTCATAGTTATTATCGTTAGTTTTGTCGTGTTTTTTCTATCGTACGTGAAAAAAAAAATTGCGAGAGTCTTATCATTGAGCACTGATGGCACTGAGGAAGTAATTTACTCAGTAAAAAAGTAGCATTAATGAGAAAAAAAGTAATAGTCACTGATAATTACTTTCTTAAAAAAATAAAACGAAAATATTCTTCCAAAAAGATATTTCTTTAAAAACTCTTTTCAATATAAGTAGTAGCCCTGTCTGAAGCTGTATCCACCCAGGCAAAGAAAGTAAAAGTAGTAAAAACCATTACATTTCTAGATTTCTTAAGAACTGAAGTTAAAGTCTTTCTTAATTATTTATAACTAAAGATAGTTTACTAGCATTTATTGTTCTCAATGTAAGAACTAAATCTGTATGCATGCTGAGACTCATAAAACATTTTGAATAAAATCGACATTTTATTTTTTCCGAAATCAGTATAGATAATAATAACAATGACCCTCCTATATATTCTACATACCAGCAAACTTCGGGCTCATGTCAACGTGATTAACCATAAAACTGGAATAAAGCAAGCCATTCAAACCAAAGGACAAAGAAAATAATACAATTATGATAATTGGACGGCAACCCACAAAGGCGATAGCTACAGCACACAAAGCTGGCCCAAAAAATGCTGAAAATAAAAAAATATATATATATATATATTGCTCTTAACAAATAATAAATTATTTATTTAAAGAATAAGTTTGAGCAATGTTCTTGAAGTGGAAACTTCAGAATCTTAATCTGTAATGAAAGTAATTAACTTTCTTCTACTAAGAGTTCTTGACATTGTAGTGCTTAATAATCATGAAAATGGAAGCACATACTCTTAATAGGGTTAACATGGTATAAACAAACAATAATAATAGCAATAAATCTACTTCTATACATCTGTTAGCTTTCAATCTTTCCGAAAATGGATTTTCCAAGTGATGGTAAAACAATTACCGAATAACAATCTTCCCAACTTTCTATGATTTCTGTAAAAATTTATTCGAGTGGTAGTTAAAGATAACTAAAATCACATCACGTTACTTTCAAGCCTCCAAAATGTATGCTTGTTTGAATAAAATGGTAATAAAAATAGTTTTAAATCGAATATATTAGGTCTATCGAAAAGTTCTGTCCGTGAAGGTCCGTTTTTTTCATACTTAAAAAGGTACTGAAACTACCATTATTCAATTAATTTTGATTTTTATTAATAATTATAAATTACTTTGTCCGCAACTACGTATAAATAATTACAACAAATATATAAAAGCCTAATAATTTACACGACAACTATTTACATCCTGGCCAAAATATAAATATAATTATATTTTTGAGTAAAATTGAGTTTCGGTAATTGTTCTACTATCGCTTGGAACATGCATACTTGGAAAGAGTGAAATTTGGCAGGTATGAATGTTCATATCAGATGTACCGCTCAGTTCGTCACAAATTTGAATATATATGGATATGCTCGTATGCGTCTCTTTTGCTAACTCTTTAATCCCTCAGCGCATTTGCAAGTGTCTGACACGGGCGAAAGTTACTACACATGCCCCTGTCTCCTATTGGCAATCTATATTATATAAAACAATCTATATTACATAATATATAATATAAAACAATTATATATCAATAAAACCGATGATATTTCTTTTCTCGCCTTGGCAACAGTTTTCATTTTTAATTGATAGGTTTCGGCGCGCAAGAGCACGTAGTGTGCATCATATGGCTAATCCATATTATATAAAACGCTAATACGTTTTAATTGATAGGCTTCGGTGCGCAAGAACACGTAGTGAGCATCATATGTTTAATCGAGAGAATTCTCACGGAATTATCAAAAAAACTTCTCACAAAATTATCTTAATCGAAGCCGATGCTTTACATCCGGCGCTCAGTATTATTTCATATTGTTTTACAACACATGGTTTTAGCCCTCTGGTGGGAAAGACTTTAAAACAAAACTTACAACAGTTACTTTTCTCAACTACTGAAATTTAGAATAGTGTGATTAAGAAAAGTATGTGAACTGTTTGCAATTAATATTGAAATGCACAGGTTTAGACTTTTCTACAGTGAAAAGTTTTCGGAACTTCAGTGTTCAAAAAAGTATACAAAATCTAGACGTTAAGAACGCATGCAATGAGCGAGCATCGGATTGCGAAGCAATCCGAAATGAACTGCGAAAGCAGTTCCGGGTGTTGGCGAGTGCCAGCGAGCAGGGGGCGAAGCCTCCTAGTCTTATTGTATTTCGCGTTCTTTTTTTTTCGACTGCTCGTCTGACATCCCTCCTAGTATATATAATTTACACTATCTCTTCAAGTTCTGTAAAAAAAATAAACCTTCGATAATTTTTTACCAGTTTTCAGGGGAAAAAAACTCGTGTATTAAGGGGTTAAGACATAACATTTTCATTGATTTAAAAGGTAAATACCATACCACTTTCTGTTATCAAAAGATTTTAGTAATGTAAAAAAAAAGAAGACGTTACTACCCTATAATATTCAGTAACAGAAAACTTATAGCGACGATGATAAAATTAAAATATTTGCAAATGCCATAGAGAAACAATTCTCATTAAATACGTTCCCCAGTAATAACAAACCTGATGAGAAGATCAACTTAATATATGATAATTACTTTATTAGCAACAACAGCCACAATCCTATTGATAATGTGAATCAAGATGAACTAAACAATATTATTAAAAAACTAAATAACAGAAAATCTCCAGGTGAAGATAATATTAATAACCGAATGATTAAACAACTACCACTTAATAAGCTCAATGATATCATCAACATCTTCAACGCTTGCCTCAATCTGAATTTCATCAATTATGTCTGAATACATTGCTTCTCTTTGCAAATTGTGATTACTGTATCTATTATGTCTGTAAATAGTATCAACGTATATTTTCAAATCATGCCTGTATATAAATTCTCATATCGAAATCTATTGTAATGCAAAATGTTTTATTTATCAAGCAAATTGCTTGATTTTATTGACTAAGCTACCATAATGATGCTTAATACAAAATGTTTTATTCACTGTCTGAAAATATTTTCATGATGAATGGGATAGGGGTCGCTGTGCTGCCCAGGTGCCCAGTTTTTGTTAATAAAAGTAAAGTAAAGCAATCTGAATTATTTCCCCACAAATTGGAAAAATGCTATCATCATTTTGTTTCCGAAACCAAGCAAAGATTCAAGACACCCGGAAAATTTTCGTCCTCTCAGCCTGCTTCTCACTCTGGGAAAAATTCTAGAGAGAATTATCCTTACCAGACTTGAACCATTGATAACCTTTCGACCGAAAGAACAATATGGATTCAGGAGGAGACTATCCACCCCAAAGCAGCTGATCCGCTCAATTGATTTTATAAGCGACGGCATCTTCAAGAAAGAATCCGCAGCCCTGCTTATGCTAGACGTGGCAAAAGCTTTTGACAGCCTCTGGCATAAAGCTCTAATAACCAAACTTATCAACCAAAATCTACCTTACAATATCAGTAAAATTATTGACTCCTACCTCAGCAATAGGACTTTTCAAATAAGACTGGACAATCAACTTTCTATTGAAAAGAATATTCATGCGGGAGTACCGCAGGGAAGCATTTTAGGTCCGATCCTATATTTAATCTATACAAATGATTTTCCCTCTTGCAATAATCAAATTAACCAAATGATAGCATGCTACGCCGATGACACTACCATAGCCATTAGATCTTTAAATGCCAACCAAGCTGTACTAAATATGTACAATCTTACGCCAGCCATAGAGACATGGTGTGCAGACAATAAAATCCTGATTAATGCAGAGAAATCCAAACTAATGCTGATCAGCAGGAAAAAGAAAAAGAATAAGAGAAACATCAGTAATAATGTTATTCTCTTTGATAAAATCATCCCTATAGTTAGCCAGGCAGACTTCCTAGGCTTCACTATCAACAACAAACTAACTTGGAACCCGCAAGTAGAGAAAGTTATCAATAAGGCTCATGCTGCATATAGTTGCCTGAGACCAATCATTAACTCCAGTTCTCCACTACCCCTAAATCTCAAAAAAAAACTTTACACAATGTGTATAAGGCCTATATTAACTTATGCATGCCCTGCCTGGGGATGTATAAACCAAACTCAATTAAAAAAGCTTGAAGCAGCCCAAAACAAGTTACTAAGACGTATCACAGGTGCTCCATACTATCTACCAAATAATGCTATCAGAAATGATCTAAATATAAATACCATCAACGAATATATAACCAAACTCAAAATCTCATTCTTTAGTAATGCCAAAGACCCAGATCCAGTTGGCTTTAATGAACTCTTAAATAAGGAACTACTTCCAGATATGATGCAGCACAATCCAAATACCTCGTTCTTATTATCAGATTGCATCCTCTCAAAGCATTATAAATAAATACCCCCCCCCATTTTTATTACCATGGATACTCCCAGAGAGGTGAAAGGACCTTCATGTGATCGCCGACTCGGGGGTATCCACCCCTAGTATTTTACCTAACTTGTCCCACTTATACAGTTTTCAATCTATTTTTGATCTACAATCTCACATTTAATAAGCCAGACATAGAGTATAAAACCTGCGTCGCCCAATGCTTCTGCTACTTCTCTAGTATTTCTTGCATAACGACAGTACTACAGGCGCCTACGGGCTCTACATCACGATGAAGGAGTGGAGTGTCCGCTTCGCGTACAGGGACTCCGAATGCAACATCAGTCTAAGACGTTATTACAGACATATTCAGATATAAGCTGCCTATGCCGAATACTACCCAGTCACCAACTTTCCTTATTTTTCACTTCTATGCCAAAAGTCTCAGTTGTCAATAAGCACAATTCAGATGAAGAAGTTTGGTGCAGTAGGTACTTCAGTAACACTCCTATCAAGTCAAGTTATTATTACAGAAAACTGCCCTTTAAATACATCCTCAGAAAAAAGGCAGGTCTGGGTAGTATTGTGTGAACAGTTTACTTTACATTAAGCACAATTCAGATGAAGAAGTCTGGTGCAGTAGGTACTTCAGTAACACTCCTATCAAATCAAGTTATTATTACAGAAAACTGCCCTTTTAATACATCCTCAGAAAAAAGGCAGGTCTGAGTAGTATGGAGTGAACAGTTTACTTTGTGCGGTGATAACAAATGCGTGATTTCGTTGTGGTTTCCATATCTTTCATTCACTAATTTATATTTTTCTAAGTACTGTGGGAATCATTACCTTATTTTGAGTTATAAACAATTAAAATGCAAGTACTTACCAATGCTATTCATTATTTTTCTGATTGTGGTGACACGTAGATAGTCACCAGCTCTTAAATAGTCGGCTACTATACTTGCAGGGAATGCAAAAAGAGCCATCATCAAAAAAGGAATGCCCGATACCAATCCATTCTAAAGAAAGCATGCCCGTTAAATTATATGTTTCTATCAAATTTAGTTATTGTTTTTTTTTAAACAAGATATTCATTATTAAAGATATAAAATAAATGTAAGACAAATCAGTGAAAATAAAGCATATTTTCCACTTGAATAATGCTGTTTATAGTAGTTTTTATCATTACTTTTTTTTTATTTCGCATCTTCGAAAACTTAATTACGTTTTAAAATTACAACTTAAATAAAAAAGTATCCCGAATTTTTCATAAAAATATGAAATCCCATATTTCTTTTGTCATGTTAATATAATCGCATCTAAAAAAATTAAAAAAAAAAACATTCATTAGTAGAATAAAATGAAACAATTAAATAAGTAGCGTTTAATATTATTTGAAGATAATTTTTTTAAGGTAAACTAGTTTTATAATTATTATTCTCTATTTGTTTTGGCGATAAAAAATTTCAGCGAAAATTGTTCTAACGTAATGTCACATACAGAAAATTCGTTAAGGATTTTTAACGTTAATGGATCAACCACGAGGAGAAATTTGCCTCCGTGGAGGACTTTTTGATAGAAGTAACCCGCATTTGTGCATAAAGGAGATGAAAACCACGAAAACCTCTCACAATTTGCCTGACTGCTGTAGGGCTCAAATCCTTGATCCACTACCACTGATGATGTTCTTACGGAAGTACTTTGGTCGTGGTGAGCAAGGTGCGGAGCACGAATCGACCAGCAATCGATTTTGGATCCGAACATGGAATGCCTTATTGAGAGGCGAGCGCTCTATCTTCTGACCTACTACGGCTCAGAGTTTGTGATTTTATTTTTATTTCATAACCGTCGTTGAACAGCCAACCCAATTATTGGATTTACGAATACTTATGTTCAACTCCGTAGCTTAGTTATTTTGAACCCAATCCAGAAGACAAGGAAACTCCTGAATTAAGTATTGAGAGAAATTTGCTTTCGTGGAATACTTTTTGATGGAACTAACCCGCATTTGCGCTACATGTAGGAATAACCACGAAAACCTATCACGGTTATCCTGACGGTAAAGGGAATCTTACACATGACCCGTCTACCACTGAGGATATTTCACGTCAACACTGTGGTCGGTGCAAGCCGGATGCGGATTCGTAACGACCAGCCATCGCTGCGATTCGAACCCCGTTCACCTCATTGGAAGGCGAACGCTCTATCCCCTGAGCCACCACGGTTCAGAGTTTGTGATTTGAAGTATATTATAGAATTGAATAGATACCACGCAACAAACTTACATCTTTTAAATCAAAGT